AAAAAAAAAAAAAAAAAAAAATTTTAAAGATTAGGGAGATAAAAGCCAAAGACTAGGAGAAGATATATGCAATATGTTTATCTAACAAAGATTCATATTATCATATGTAGAATACTTTGAGCACTCTTAAAAATTGGTAAGAAGAAAACAGCTAACCCAATAAAAGGATGGCAAGAGACCTGAATAGGCACTTCACCAAACAGGATGTTCACATGGCCACTACATAGACAAAAAGGTGACCAACTTCACCGCTCACCAGGGAAATACAAATTAAAGCAGAAATGGGATACTACTACATATCAGGCAGAATGGCTAAAATGAAAAGGAACGACAACTCCAAGTGTTGAAGAGGATAGAGAACACTGGAACTCTCATCCACTGGTGGCAGTATAAGTTGGTACAACAATTTTATAAGAAGGTTTGTCAGTATCTAATAAAGCTGAACACATGCATGCCCTGTAACCCAAAACTTCCACTCCGGGGTCATGGTACAACTTTATAAAAATGGCCCCCAGTGAATCAAGCCCCTCTGTATCCTCATCCCTTTCCAATATAACGCTGCTGCTCCCCCCCGCAAGAGATGGAGCTTTCCTAACCCCTGTGAATCTGTGGCTGCCCTTGTGACTTGCTTTGACCAATAGAATATGGCAGAACCGATTTTATGTGAGTTCCAGAGAATAGACCTTAAGAGGCCTTGTAGCTTCTGCGTTTGTCCTCTTGGGATCCAGCTACCATGAAAAGAAGTCTGGGATATCCTGCTAGACAGAGAGGCTGCATGAGGAGAATTGAGGTATCTAAGCTCATAGCCAACACCAAAGTCCCAGACAGGTGAGTAAAACCATCTAGACCTCCCTACCCAGCCCAGTGAGGTTGAGTGAGCCCAACTGACACCGCATGGAACGAAGACAAGCCATCCCCACTGAGCCCAGTTCAAATGCCCGATCCACAGAATCACGAGCAATAAAATAGCTGTTGTTTTTAAGCCTCTAAATTTGGGGGTGATTTGTTATGCAGCAATAGATAACTGGAAATGAGAATATAGCAAAAGAAAATGATATATATGTTCACCAAAAAGGACATGTACAAGAATGTGCATAGCAGTACCATTCAAATTACCCAAACTGAAAACAACCCAAATGTCCATAAACAATAGAATGGATACGTTTTGGTAAATTCGTAAAACAGAACATCATTCGGCAATAAGAATGACTGAATTGCAACAACATGGATGACTCTCACAAATACGCCATTGAGTAAAAGACAGACTCAACACTGTGCTTTCATTTATCTAGTGAAGTTCAAAAACAAGCAAAACCAATCTAGGACGTAGAAGTCAGGAAAGCCATCATGGGGGAGTTGGGAAGTGACTGGAGGGGGACAGGAGAGAGGCTTCGGTGGCTCTGATAATGTTTTCTTTCTTGTTCTGGGTGCGGGTTACAAGGGCATACTTACTTCAATAAAATTTATTGATTCTTGTATTTAAGATTTGTGTGTTTTAATGTATGTTACACTTCAAGAAAAGTTTACCTAAGAAGATTAAACCACTGTCCCCGTCTTTGATAAAATCTTTTAATATTTTTAAATCACCTACAGAATTTTTTGACATGCAGATTTTTTAAAATACAGAGCCTGAGTCAATATCTCTGGGCTGGAACCCAGCCATCTGTGGCTACGAATCTCCAGAAGTGATTCTGATGCACAGCCCAGATCGAAATATTAGGTCATTAGCAAAAACAGTGCTGCTTCATTTCATCATCATTATATTTCCTCTCAGAAATATTTTGCCAAAGAACATGAAGCACAAACAACTATCTTCAAATTGCAATTATCTAAAAGAAAGAAAATGGCAAAATACCCACTTCCTCCCACTCCCCACTCCTCAGGTTTGGCTATTCTACCATTTAGAAAGCTTCTACAGATCATTAAATGCTTTAATTAGTTTCATACATATGTGCTCAGCTCAAAGCATGCCATTAAAATACCATTCTTTTGCCACAGTGAAGGATGCTCGCTGGATGATTTAAAAGGAGCTCTTGGATGCCATACACTTTTAATTAGAACAAAAAATGGTTGGCCCAAATTAAAGAAAAATAAGTTTTTAAGTCTAGCATCTACCTTGAAGTTAACAACAGTCATCTTGATTTTGCAGGAGAAATGCATGCATGCCTTGGGAATAACTATAATTTTAAAATCATTTTGAACCATCCTGACATTGCCCGTCCCTGAGATGATTTACTTAGTCATTTCAGAACGACTACATAAATGATAAAGAGACAGAGAGACGGACAGCTAGCTCTGCAGAAAACAGAAAACCGTGTTCAATCCACCATGTCCCCCCAGATTTGTTTATTTTGATCTCTCGGCATGAAAGTTTTGTGGATAAAAAAATAAGATCCTCTTTATTAAAGCTACCATTGTACATCAACAGATTGTGGTTCAGAGAAGGTGTTCAACAAATTAACATTAAATGAAATCTAATTCAGCTTCGTGAAAGTGACAAAATTAAACAAATTTAGTAAACAACAATCAGAGAAAAAAGCCACTTGAACTGATTTCACCAGTTTGGTGTCACAAAGACAAGACAGGTGGGCATCTTTTTAATTTCTTAGTGTCCTGCCATCTTCAGAGTTTACATCCCTGGATGAGGACAATTCAATATTTAATGACTGCTTTTCAAAAGACTAAACATTTTACTTACCTGGGTCTTTCTCGTGTATATGTGTATAGTTTTCCAACATGAAGGAAAAGAAATTGGATAGCTGGGCAAAATAGAAATACATTAGTCAGTGAATGATCCCCAAACAGCCACCATGGCAAATACTGTTGGCGCGCTCTCCCAGCCTCTACCTGCCTCCCTCCTCCCTCAGCTGGTGGGCAGCACCTCCTGCAGAAGCAGAGGATATCATATATCCTCCTTCCCCTTAATGGCCAAAAAGGACTTTTTTTCTACTAAGAAGCATTAAAGCTGGATTTATACAGCATTTTTGCAAGCTTGAAAAAGGCCTTCCTCGCCCATCTATATTTTCTTCTAGAACTCTCTCAGGTTTGTTCTCAGGAAATTTTCATTTTTTTAACTCCTTAAAATATTTTTTCCTTCGTAAAGTAGCAACTTTACTTCCTCCTGGGACACGTGCCCAAGAACAGAGTAAGATCATTTTTTATTAGTTAACTAGACATCTGGCAGCCCTGTTCAAAATATAAACTTCAGAAATGAAAAACACCGTCCTCTTCCCAAATCCTACTCTCTCTCCACAGCTACTTCCAAGACAGTGTCACCCTCTATTAAAGCTTTCACCAAGGTAAATGGACCCAAACTTTCCTTTTCTCAATTATGAGGGGTAAAGAGAAGCATTTTACCAAAAGAAGAGACAAGCTGGCAACACAGACCTGCAGTTGGCCTTGTTCGTCAGCATATTCGATAGACTGGAAGATGGTGAGGGCATAGCGCTGTCTGGCCTTCCACCGAGCACAGTAGCTTCGGTACCAGTTCTGGATGACCAACGCGGCTTTTAGCACTGCAGACCCATAGCATATGAAAACCAGAGGAAACCAGTTACTATGCAGCTATGGGACAGGGAAGTAGGTGCTTTCGAAAAAAATCAGTCCACCTGGATTCCTAGGTTCTAAGAATATACACACTACAATGGGATTTACCTTTATGTTTCTGTAGAACGTCCTCAAGTCTCCAATACTCAGAGAATAATGATGGCATAGCCATTAAGGGTAGAATTTCTGGGGGGCGCCTGGGGGGCTCAGTCGGTTGAGTGTCCAACTCTTGGTTTTGGCTCAGGTCATGATCTCAGGGTCGTGGGTTGGAGCCCCGAGTCAGGCTCTGCTTGGGATTCTCTCTCCCTCTGCCCCTTCCCCTGCCCTCCTGCTTACGTGCACTCTCTCTTGGGGGGGGGGGAAGGGTAGAATTTTGGGGGCAAGAAGGTCTGAATTTGAATCCCAGCTATGCTAATCACTGTCTGTGTGACTCTGGTAAGTTATTAAAACTCTCAAAGCCTCAGTTTCCTCACCTGTAAAATGGGGGAAATAACAGCACCTACCTCTGGCACTACTCAGGTATATTCACATTCTATGTATCCCTATGAAGTAGCAATTCCATTCTTCACTATATACCCCCAAGCAATCCTCACACAGCCCGTAAGGGAGACGTATGGGGATACAGTGTTTCTTTGCTTGTGGCAGTAGGGAGTTTGACCCCAACACAGCCTGGATGGCCATTGCTGGGTAGGAGAATGTGTAACCGTGGTGGGCGCACACCATGTCCTATTATGTCACAACTGGAAGCAACAGATTAAATAAACCCATAGCAACATGGATGCGGCTTAAAAATATAGTGCTTTAGTGAGAACAGTTTTAGTTAGAGACAATGAAATATAACATGATGTCATTTTATATAAATTTAAAACACACATACACAAAACCAAAATATACACTTCATAAGAATATATACAAAGGCAAAGACACTAAAAAAATAGATTGGTTATTTATGGGGGGGGCGAATGAATATAGTGTACGTGGGTAAAAAGGAACAAGCAAATTAATTAGCTAACATAAGAAAGAGTCTCGCACAGACCAGTGATGACAATGTACGATGAATTGAAAAGTATGATTCACTCCAGCTTCTGTACCTGAGATTCAACTGATACAAGACAGATGGATAAATGAACACACCTCCCTCCTTCATAGCGTTACAATAAGGATGAAATGAGCTACTACGGATGAAGAGTTTATCCCCATGCCTGGTTAATAAATGGCTAAACAAACGGCTACTATAGTGATAAGCATCGTCTTGTTTGTGGATTATTCAGTACACTGACTCTCTTCTGGGGCTCTGAGCCTTTGAATCATCCTGTAGCTTCATGGCTTTGAAGAAAGCGATCAGGTGAGAGATAACGAGATTTAAAATATAGTCTCTTATGCCTTCCTCAAGTTTTCGAGCGAAGAGCAATCAACACCAGCTGGCTTCTTTTATTCATGCTATAATTTTTCCCAGTTAGCACATAAAAATTAAGAGTTGACTATAACAAGAACAATTTGAATTCTAAAAGCAGGATTCTAGCCTCCAGTCCCAGTATCCTTGGCTTAATACTGCTAGTCATCTGAGGGTATGTATTTATGAGTTTCTCCAAGACTCTCTGGTTCCAGAGACACTCATTTCATTATTCAGCTTCCAGAAGACCCCAGGCAATAGACATAAGGTCAAATATCATGATCTTTATAGGGGAACACCACAGGGAGAAGAAGTGAGAGTGACTTGTTCAATAGCGCAAAGCAAATGACTGGGAGGCTCAAAATCTCAAGTGTTCTCACTGTATCATTACAGAGAGCCCAGGCTCACCTGCAAGGTCTGTTCTATGGGACAGTCCCTGTCATGACCAGCCAACCCTCACCTCAGGGGCTCTCTCTGCTCGTCAAGTGCAAAGGAACTGTCCCAGGGCTATTTACCGAGCAGTTACTGAGGGCCAGGCCATGGATTCATTTCCACAGTCTTCGCCACACCGAGAAGCTGAGACAGACTACTTAAGGTCACTTAGCCACTAAGTGGAAATGCACAGTGCAGAACGGAAGCCAGGTCTCGCTTAACCTCCGTAGACCTACTGACCTTTTGCTGCGTCTCAGTTTCTTCATCTGCACAATGATGCAGTGGAATAAATGATCACTACAGTTTCTTCTACTTAGGGCTAGCACCACCGATAAGAAATAATCACGCTTACTATTTCTATAATTAATAATGGGACAAAATAGCTACCATACGTGAAGGGGCTGCTAGAAGAGATTTAGCCCCCACAAGTATCATCTCTATGTTACACATAAGGAAACTTCAGGTTCAGAGAGGCAAGTATCTTGCTCCAAGTCACTTACCTCGTATGGACTCAGGTCTTCTGAGTCCAAACTCCGGGCTCTCTCCACTATAGCCAGCTACTTCTTTCCCTAACCTATGTGCACCTTTCCTTCCTTTGAATAAGAGCCACCGTTTAGGGAATGCCTACTATGTGCCCGGCACCAAGCTACACACGATACCCATACTACCGCTTCTACTCCTTCCCCGTGAGGGGAAATAGGTGATGGAAGCCCCCCGTCCTATCTCTGCCTTCTTCAGTCCAGTCCCTTGCCGGGATCCCGCCCCACTCCCCAGGGGAGGAGTTGCTATTTTATCTGATAAGCACACAGTACTTTGGGGGGCTGTATTTCACTAGTAGGTGTGGAAGGCAGACGGCCATGCTCAGTTCCCTGGCTCTTGCATTTCCTTTTCTGCTCCAAAGGCAGTAAGCTGAGCCATCCCCTACTCCCTTCCGGGCTCAGAAAGCCACCATGCCTGTCGACGCTTGCATTCCTCACCGGAGCTTACCGTGGCATGAATGCCACTTACTAAGCTATTACGTGTCAGCTGTCACCCCACACTTCTCTAATCTGCTCACCTGATGCTGAAACTGGGGCTCTGCAGGCCACATTTCTGATCAGCCCCCCGGGGGGGTGTGGGGGGACTACCTGCTTGGCTCTGCCAAAGGGGGAGGTAGAGGGAGATGGTGAGGCTGGAGGAGGGATGAGAGACACACTCCTTCCTGTCTGCTTCCTGTTCCTCTTAGTGTCGCCTAGCAATGGCTCCCCACCCCCCCTCCCGCCGCACCAGTTTCTCCTTGTAGCAGCAACTGGATCTAGTGTGCATTATGCAGCACTTGCACAACCAGCTTCGGGGCTGCCCCTCAGAGACACCAGCACCAGCTGGGCAGCCCCCATTGTCAAAGGTCTGAATTTCAATTCTGCAGGAACCCTCCTCCAAGTTTCTAGATTGTAATAATTCCAGTCTCTCCCCTTTGTTCTCTCAGCTCTAGAGATGGTAACTGTCGTACCTCCACAGGCCTCAGAGCTCCTTCAGAGACGTTTCCGTTACCTAGGAACAATCTGATACCCACTTAACAGCTCTTTCCTTTCACTTCTCTCGTCACATCCCTCTATGGTTTCTGCCTCCTGACTAGACCCTGCCTGATGAGCCAGTCTCATCGGGCGGGAAGAATAGGCTCAGGTTAGGCCTCAAGCGTCCACCTTCCTGGATGCTCCAGCTCAGGCCCTTATCAGAATCGTACATCGGGATTTTGAGTACTTCAGCAGCAGCTGACAAAATAGACTTTGATCCACATCCTGCTCCTGCTCCTTCGGCCCACAGTCCCCCCAGCACCCCCTCCCGCACAGGGAAGGAGACCAGCAGGGCAGGGTTAAGTGTACCAACACCAGACCTCTAAAACCTCACCTGATTCCTAAGAAGCCCCCACCCCACCCCAAACACACACACACACACACACACAGCCACTCTAGCCAGCTGAGGACTCTCCTCTGGAGCAGAAACCTGCAAAATGGCAAAGAGTAGAGCCCAGATAGGATAGACCCTACCCGAGGGGCTGCTGGCTCCATAACCCCCAACCCTGCCTGTAGAGTTGAAGATCTGTGTCATCTAGTTCTGAACTTGTTGGACAGCTTAGATCCGCTTCTAGTCCTGCTGCTTCATCACATAACAGGGCTTGTCTTCCCTGTCACATTAATTCCATGCAGAAAAAAAAAAATAAAAGCTATTGCCATATGTGTCCCAAGGGCCTTCTATTTTTGTTTCTAGAAGGAAGCACCAGCATAGGTTTAACAAGTTACCTGGCCAATTTCCTGTACCCAGCACAGGTTGATCCTCTATTGCCAAGCTGGGGGCTTTTATTTTTTAATGGCTTCTTTTCTATGGTGGCAGCCGTTATCAGGTATTTTACATGGAATGAATATCCGTGTAGGAGGTCAATGAAGAAGGCAAATAATAAGTTCAGAGCATCTGTTTTGTGCCAGGCGGTGCTTTATGTGGATCCTTTAATTTGATTTGATTTAATCCTCCCAACAATCCTAGGAAGTGTCATTATCCTTATTTTACAGATAAGGAAACTGAGGCTCAGAAATAACTTGTTTGGGGTCACATCACTTGTCAGTGGGAGAATACAGAGTCAAATCTGGATCTCTGTCATTCCAGAAACTGGGCTTATAACCATTATGCTGTACAACCCAGTGTGGCATTTGGAATCAGCCATAAAAAATGAGACAATACGTAGAATAGTATGCCCTCCCTCCCACACCTTCCCTACCTCACAATCCCTATGCTTTTCACCTGTTCAATTGTTCTCCATAGCACGTTTTACCATCTGATATTCTATATAGTCGTATGTTTATGTGTTTATTGTCTATCTCCCCCTATTAGCTAAGCTACATGAGAATAGGGACTTTATTTTGTTCACTGCCATATCCCCAGCACCTAGGGTAAGGCCTGGCAATGGATATTTGTTGAACAAATGAACAAATACCTTCTAGGGCTGTTATAATAATGATGTATTAGCAATGTATAATAATGTATTAGTAATGTGTTGATACAGATATTCATAATATATTCATTAATTGATTGATTAATATAAAATGCTTAGCACATGCCTGGCACATAGGAAGTACTCAATAAACAGTAAATGCTTTTTTTTAAAA